CGATGCCGGGGGTGCTGGGTCGATGCCTGGGGTGCTGGGTCGATGCTGGGGGTGCTGGGTCGATGCCGGGGGTTGTCCTGGGTCGAGCACTATCACCTTTCGTTGTTTTCTTTGTCAATTACCGTGGCCGTTCGCTGACCAGGAGAGCTGTAGGAGCATTGTTTTAGCCGAAGGTGACACAGAACTGTAACACAGCAATGCACTTTTTCTTTCTTTCGAGTGCATTTACCTTCCACCAGCTCGGCTCTTTGTGTGCGGCACCTCTTAGATTTTAGGAGAAAGCCCTGTGTGACCTCCCATCCTTGTGTGCCTGAGCTGTGCAGGGACATTCTGGCATCACAGCGGCGTGGGCGCTGCTCAAGGGATGAGGAGCATGTGGGGCCCTCCTGGCTGCAGGGATTTGGCTCTGAGAGATGAACACTGTTGGGAATGAGCCCCAGTTCAGGTGATGCTGGGTGGGCTCCCCTCCCAGCTGTCCCTCTGTGCTGGAGTCCCTGTGCTCCCCATGAGGACACAGGGGTAGGGTTTCTGTTCTCTCCCTTCCCAGGGTGAGGAAGGGAAGGCTGGTGTGAGCTGAGGTGCTCCATCTTCTGCTCGCTGAGCTGGTGAGGGGCTGGAAATCAGAAGTGGGAGCAGCCCTTGGTATTCAGGAGTCTTTGTGGACCACATGATCAGTGTTTGGGGGCTGTGCTCACAGCTTTGTCCCTGGTCCCTCATGGCCAGCCCTGCACAGTCTCTAATTCTGTGTAGCCCCCAAGCCACACGTGTCTAGTTCCTGTCTCTGCACTGATGAGGAGCTGAGGGTGAAAAGGGCTGTGCTGTTTCCTGGGCTGGAAATCTCCTTTCTGTCCCCAGGGGTTTACTGGGAACTTGTCCTGGGCAACCTCTGGGCTACTGTGGGCTCCTTGCTTTATACCCCTGGCAGAGTGGGTCACTCAGTCAGCCGGAGGGGACCATCCCAGTGACGGAGCTTCCCTGGGTGGAGCTACCACGGGAGCTGCACTGCTTGGGGGGCTGACTGGGGCGTGAGGAGATGCTCCCCCAGCTGCTGCCGAAGTTGTAGCTCCACCTGCAAGTGCCTTTAGGCTGAGTTCGGTGTTTCTGATCCCTGAGAGAGGCTTCACCTTCCCAGAGGAACCCAGGAACACACACACTGAACAGCTTGGCCTCGTGTTCCCGCCAAGCAAAGCGACAGCGGGGCCAAAAAACTCACCAACCACCAAGAAAACCTTTGGCATCTTAAAAATGAGAGTCAGACCCCTGAACTAATCTGGTGGAACACGATTTTGTAGCTTTTCCCAAGTATGCCAGACATGCCAGGAATGCTGCGCTTCCTGAGGGCTGGGGTTTGCTGGCTGGGGTTTGCTGTCAGAGGAAGGGACGGGGAGCCAAGTCCCCTTTGCCTGTGGAAGGGAGAAGGGCTGTGCTGCTCCCTGGGCCACGGGGGCCATGTTTGTTGTGGGCAAATGGTGGCTGTTTTCCCGAGGCATCGGCCAATTGAAGCACAGAGATCTGCATATCATTTGAGTACCACAGCCGGGTAAGGAGCTGTGCAGCCTCCAGGATGGGGTGGCCAGGGACCGACCACGTCATGTCTGGGCCCCATGGCCACATGTGGGAATCACAGGGGCACGTGCCACCCCCAGACCGGGCATTTTGGGAGGCAGCAGCATCCCTGCACACTGTGTTCCATAAATAAATATGTGTCCGTGTATGTTTGTTGTTATCTTCCCATCCTGGAGCAGTTGGGACCCCTGGGCAGTGAGCAGCTTCCCAGTGCAGGAAAAAGAAAGGGAAGCAAATGGTGTGGAAATGCATGGCAAATTGGGATGCAATACACAGCGGGGCTCTCCCTGCCGTGTGACCCCCAGCCCGGAGAGGGGGGCAACGGGGAATGAATTATGTGGGAATGGGAGGGCGGGGGGAGATGTGGGGATCAGGCAGTGGCTGTGTCCGGACAAGGCCAGGCTGGACTTTGAGCTTTGTCATCGGGAAATGTTTGGTGGAAATGTCCCACGGTGCCAGTGCACAAGGTGTGAGGAGCAGTGGGAAAGGCTGGCAAAGACTCAAAGGACGTGCAAAATTTGACAGTTTGGGATTTTCCTGGGAAGAGGCTGGGCTAGAGATGGCTTCTCAGTGCATCTGTGGGGTTAAACCTCCTTGCACCCACGGGGGAAAGGATCCATCTCACCCATCTGGCCCGGGACATTGGAGCATTGGTCATCCCGGAGCGTTTTGTCGGGGGGAGGAGGGGACCAGGAGATTGCAGTGTGTGACATGGATCTGCAGGGCGTCACTTGGAGCATCCCTGTGTGCTGTGGTGGGTGCCGGGGAGCGCCCCGGGCTCGGCGGCTGCCGGAGACGGTTCCCAGGCTTTGTCCCGCAGGATCGAGGAGCGAGTCCCTCTCGGGGGGAGCCACCGGGGGATTGATGGCCCCGGGGCAGCGGGCGGCGCTGGGCGGGTGACTGCGGGCACCACGGGTTTGGGGAGATGCTCTGAGCAGGGAGTTTACCGCGAGAAGCTCCCACCGCCGGTGCCGGGATCCCGGGAATGCCGGGCTGTGAGTGCGGCTCGGAAGCCCCCGGCCGCCAGCTGCCGGTACTGCACCGGGACACCGGGACACCGGGACACCCGGACATCGGCACGGCACCGGGAGAGAGGCAGGGGGGATGGAGGAGCAGGGCCGGGTCTCAGAGGCGCAGAGATCGAACGATGCTCCGTGCGGGAAATGCATCAAGACCAAGTACGGTGTCCAGTGTTTTATGTCCCGCCGCTCCACGTGAAAACAGCCACACCGAGGTGTGTCCCGGGGCAAACCCTGTGATCTCAGAAGCAATGGAAACCTTCCTGCAGGGGTATGGCAGGGTTCAGCGTTCCTCCAGGACAGTCCCTTCCTCACTGCAGTTAGGAGGAAATTCTCTCCTGGGAGGGTGGGGAGGCCCTGGCACAGGTTGCCCAGAGGAGCTATGGCTGCCCCTGGATCCCTGGAAGTGTCCAAGGCTGGGTTGGATGGGGCTTGGAGCAGCCTTGGTGTAGTGGAAAGGGGATTTAAAGTGAGATGAGCTTAAAGGTCCATTCCAACCCAAACCATTCCATGAGTCCGTGATCCTGCTCCACACCCACTGGAGCACCCTGAGGACTCCTGGCATGGGGGCATATGGAGCCTGGCACCACTGAGCTCTGCAGACTCTTGCTGGGATCTCCAGGATACCAACTTCCCAACGGAGCTGGCTGCCTCCTCCTGTAAAACGGGCATGGATGTGCTGACCTGCACAGAAAGTCCCAAGGTCACCAGCAGGATAACTGGGAAGGTTTCTGTGCACTGTTATCATTAATATCAATGTCAACAGCGTGCACAGCTCTGGCCACGCTCCCCTTTCAGAGCCTCCCGCTGCTGCTGCCGCCCTGACCCCCACCCCAGCACGGCTTCAAGCCAAACATTTTCTTCCTGTTTTTCTGAGGGTGCGGCTCTTGTTTCATCTCGTTGGGTGAAGCTGATACAGCGAGTGAGTCTCTATGGCAACAGATGTTTATCGAGCCCCTGAGATGAGGCACAGGGTTGGGGAAAGGCACCGCAGCATCTGGGGTGGGTCTGGGGCTGCTGGAATGCCATGCTGGAAGGGCCACAACTGGGATGGGGGGTGTCCTGCTGTCCCCTGAGCCGCAGCCTGGCTGAGGGACTCTGGGCTGCTTCCTGCAGAGGGAAGTTTGGATTTGTATGAAGGCCTTTTGCCTCAGCCCTGCTGCGGAGCGGGTCCCGTGAATCTGGCACAACCAGGCAGGCTCTGCACGGCTCTGGGGTTTGGCAATCGCAGGGCTGGAGGTTTGCTGTGAGCTGGGGGGGTCCTGGCCCTGGCACTGCCACATTCCCTGTCTCTCCCAAATACATCATCATCCCTCCCAGAGCTCCCAAGAGGTAACTCAGCTGCAGATGGGGCAGGTCTCAGGAGTGCTGCCATGGTGCAGCGTGAGCAGGCCCACCCTGGCTGTGGGTTTGGAGCTCAGGGGTGCATAGGTGGCATTTCCCATTTTTGTCCACAGCCATAAGGGCCAGAAAGACAAGCAGGACAATGCTGAGGGTGACCAGGGCTCTTGGAGCAGGGGCTGGAAGCACTGATTGACTTTGGGATGCCTCTGAGGCTCCCAGGCCAGGAGGCTGCCTTGACTAGAGCCGGGCTGGTGCCATGGCCAGCCCAGCACTGTGCCCAGCAGTTCCACAGACACACAGCACCTGGGCAGACCCCGCTCTGCCCGAGCAGGGGTCCTTCCAGGGGTCCTTGGGGTCAGTTACCTGACAGGGGTTAGAAAACTCCTCCCCAGCATCCCAGAACGAGAGCAAGTCCCATCATCAGCGGCAGGTTCTCGGCGGGAGGGAGAGGAGCACCGGAATCTGCAGGGCCGAGAGGGGGGGTCAGTGCCAGCCCTGCCCCGGGGGCAGCACCCCCGGCCCGGTGCCGGGGACACGGTGTGACCCCTGCCCGGTTACCGAGCCCGGGTAACCCAGCGGCGGAGGGGGCGGCGGAGGGAGGGAGGGAGGGAGGGAGGGAGGGGCGGGCACGGGCCGGTGCCCGGAGCCGCCGGGGCGGCGGCGGGAGCGGCGGCGGCCGCCAGGTGTCGCTGTTCCCGCGGGAATCCCGGCGGAGCCGCTCCCGGTGCCGCTCCCGGTGTCGCTCTCGGTGCTGCTCCCGGTGCCGCTCCCGGTGCTACTCCCGGTGCCCAGTGCCGCTCCCGGTGCTGCTCCCGGTGCCCGGTGCCGCTCCCGGTGCTGCTCCCGGTGCTGCTCCCGGTGCCCGGTGCCGCTCCCGGTGCCCGGTGCCGCTCCCGGTGCTGCTCCCGGTGCCGCTCCCGGTGTGAGTTCCCAGTGCCTGCCGCTGCTCCCAGTGCCCACTCCCGGTGCTCATTGATGCTCCCAGTGCCTGCCATCCCCCCCGCTGCCCATTGCCGCCCCCTGTGTCTGTTGCTGTTCCTGGTGCCCGCTGTCACCCCCCAGTGCCTGCTGCTACTCCCGGTGCCCACCTTGGTTCCCAGTGTCCTCCGACCCGTCCTCCGACCCGTCCTCCGACCCTTCCCCCGACCCTTCCTCCGGCCCTTCCTCCGACCCTCGCAGCATGGGCTTGGTGACCTCCAGGGAGCCATCGTGGGGCTCCGGGGTGATGCCCAGCAGCTCGCAGAGGAGGGCGTAGACGTTGACGCTTTCGAAGGGCTCCACCTCCAGCCCCTTCTTGAAGGCCGGTCCCACGGCACGGAAGATGGTTTTCATGTTCATGTCCTCGTTGTTGAAACCGTGTTCCCCTTTATTGAACTGGACCTTGATCCTCTGGAGGGGAGAGTGAGGATGTGAGCACCCCAAGCCCTCCACCCCCAGCACGGCCCCAGGGGCAGCAGCACTGCTGGGTGCCCCCCTGTCTCCTGCCTCACACACACCGTTCTGCTCCTGCAGGGTTTGATGGTCTGGTTGGTTCCTTTCGGGTTTGGAAGTTGATCTGTTAGTGTTATACTCTGCAGACACCCCTCTCAAGCAATTACATCCTGCGAGTTGCCTCCCTAAACATCAGCACACCCAAATTTTGTTGCACTGAGGAGCTTCCAATGGGAAGCCACCTGCTGGCCTTGACACTGGACCTTCCCTTCATGCCAGGCTGGGAGAGGATCCTGACACAGAGATTTGCATTCGTGCAAGTCCTACCCCAAGGCTTCTGGACATTTTATCTTCTCAACAGCAGAGAAGATCTTTACCCAAAGAGCTTGAATTTCAATCTGGTTTTAGGGAGACCAATCAGCACAAAGGCCTAAAGCTGGGTGAGTGCTGGGGTGCTGTGAGAGGAAGAGGAGGAGAGAGGCTCATCCCAAAGGACAGTAGAATATGCCTGTGCATACAGCTTACCCCATGGATCACATATCCTGGATCGCTGTACAGCACGAGCGGGGGGATCCGAGGGTGGTTGGCGTAGTGGAATTTCTCCGGAAACTCTTCTTTCTTGTACACGTGCAGTTTGGGGTGGGCGTCTTTCAGCACTGAGTACACATGCTCTAATCTCCCTTCTTTTGGCACCAGGAATCCATTTGGTCCGTAATCTAAGAGTTCAAAGTCGATGTCTTTGAACGTGAAGTTGTTTATGGTCCGGAGGAGAATCTCGTCGGTCTTTAGGACGGTGTCCATGCCGTGGTCAGACGTGATGATGAGGTTGAGCTTTGATTCCAGCTCATTTTCCCGGATGCGCTGCCTCAAGTAACCGACGGTTCTGTCCACCTGCTGGATCATGGTTTTCCTCTGGGTGGAGTCAGGGCCAAACTTGTGTCCCGAGGAGTCTGGCTCTCCGAAGTAGAGTGCGACGAAGTCGAGGTTGTCCACTGTGAACCATTTCATGACCGTGTCAATGTTCTCCCTCCAGTTGGTTTCGTTGCTGTAGCTGAATATGGCAGGCTCCACCAGCTTCTTGTTCACTTCTTCCCCTTGGTATGTTGCTCTTCCTCCGGGGAAGTAGACAGAGCCTGTCTTCAAACCCTGTGAGTGGAGACACTCCATAAACTCCCCTGAACTTGCTTGGCAGTGTCCCTCCATCTGTCAGTGCAGCTACCTCCTAACGAGATTTTTTTGCTCATTGCCAATTAAAAGTGATTAACTGAAAGCACTGCCCTGTCACACTGGTTTTCTCACTGTGTTGGTAACACCAGTTAGAACTTTGGAACCAGTGACCCATTTGCAGCTTGCATGGGCTCTCTGGTTCTTGATCATCAAGTTGTGTTTTGTTGAAATCAGAGGAGGCATTTTGGCAGGTAAATACGGGCAAAAGATGTGTGTCTTGTGCCAGGTCTCAGGTCCTGTCTTAAAGCCAGATTCAAAGCCTGCTGGGCTTGCTGCAGGCCCCAGGGAAGAGGGGACTGACCCCCAGGGCTGCCACCCACCTGCCCTGGGTGTGCCCTGAGGTGTGTGGAACCCCTGGATTCAGGATTTTCCCTGAGGAACTGGGGCTGAGGCTTCTTTAAACAGGAACAGTATAACCTGTTTCATTAATGTCTTAATAAAGCTGAAATGCATCTATTATTTTTTGCTATTTTTAATAGAACGATCATAATTATTCCTGCCAGTGTCTGGGGATTTCCGTTTTTTGCTGGTCTAATTAGCCTGACATTCTCGGGGAGGCTGGGAACTCACAGCCACCAGGGATAATGGCTTGCCTGTAGCTTTTCCTGCAGGATGGCAGGTGGGGTGGGTCTGTGCAGGGTCGGTGTGTGTGAGGAGGTGCCTCACTTGCCTGTCTCTGGGCAGTGATCCAGATGGGCAGGCTGCCGTTGTCCCACCAGCTGCTTATGCCCTGCGTGGTGTAGTAGGGCAGCTTCACACCCGTGGTGGTGTTGAACCACATGTTGTGGATCACCCCGTGGTTCTCCACGTATCGCCCTGTGGGAGAGACGAGGGGCAGGGGGTGACCAGGCTGTGCTGGGCAGGGGGTGACCAGGCTGTGCTGGGCAGGGGGTGAGACAGGCTGTGCTGGGCAGGGGCAGGGGGTGACCAGGCTGTGCTGGGCAGGGAGTGACCAGGCTGTGCTGGGGTTGCCTTGGGTCAGTGGGGACCTTCGGCCTCCCCCTCCCACCTCCCCCTTTGCCCCTTCCTCCCACTGCCTCATACGAAGTGGGGTCCTGGGGCAGGGAAGGAGGTGCTTGGGTCATGCCACCTCCCACGTGCGTGGGTTGGTATCTGGTGGGTCTCACCTGGACCAAGCCAGGCACCGGTGCCACCTGCAGTTTCTCCTGCCCTCTCAGCACGGGCAGGTTCTGTTATCCCCTGTTTACCTAAACCCACGAGGTCAGTGAGCAGGAGAAGTTCCCATCAGAAAGGAGAGATTTGCACTTTGACTCTTATATTTTGTGCTATTTTTATTACACTGGTGCCAAGGACTGCGCAGTCCCTTCTGCGTGATGTCCCCATCCTCCCTCGTGTTGACGCTGCCTCCCTGCCTTTGCCTATCAGCAGTTTTCATTAGCATGCTCCACTCTTTTATGCCAAGGTTATTAATTAAAATCTTAAATAAGATTGGCTCCAAAATCGATTCTTCAGGAATTCCCCTGGTGCCCTCCCTCCAGCTTGACAGTCTCCTCTCAGCATCCCCTGCATCCTCTTCCTGTAGCCCCTCAGTTCCCCACGTTACAGATTTTGTACTAATCTTCATCTTCTCTGTCTTAACTAATGATTTCCCATGTGGCACTGTATCAAATGCATTACTGAAGTCCAGAGAGATTAAATTTAGAGCATCTCCCTTGTTTAAAAAAATAATTTATCTTACCAAAGGAGGCTATCGGGTTGGTCTGGCACTATTTACCTTTGATAAATACAGGTTCAGTTCATGGAATCCCAGAGTGGTTTGAGTTGGGAGGGACCTTAAAAACCATCCAATTCCACCTCCCTACCATGGGCAGGGACACCTTCCACCAGACCAGGCTGCTCCAAGTCTCATTCAACCTGGCCTTGAACACTCCCAGGGATGGGACAGCCACAGCTGCCACAGGGCCTCCCCACCCTCACAGGGAAGAATTTCTTCCTCCTACCTAATTTAAATCTACCATTTTCGCAGCCCTTGCCTTTGCTCTGCTCTAAGGCTCTACGTGCTGCTGGGTTTGGAGCTCCTGGCAGCGTGTCCCTCACTGATGCATCAGCCTTGACTTTGCCCTTCCCCAGCCCTCCCTGCAGCTCCCGTGGCTGGGCTACTCACCGGTCAGCAGCGTGAAGTGGGACGGGTTGGTGAGGGTGACGAAGGGGGGAGTCATGTACTTGGCCTTCACCCCCTCTGCAGCCATAGCGTCCAGGTAGGGGGTGTCCACGTCCTGGTCATAGTCCCACCGAAACCCATCGAAGGACACCAGGAGGAGTTTGCTGCGGTTGGCTGCCCGCTGCAGGGGGATGCCCCTTGCCAAGGAGAGGGCAGCAAACAGCAGCCCCAGCGATGGCAGCATCTTCGTGCCCTTGAACGGGAATAGCCCAGGTGTCTGGAGAGCTCACATTAATATGAGTGGGATGGGACTAAGTTCAGTCCTTATCTAATCTTGCAGTTGCTGATCGGGTGCGTGGCTTCAGGCAGCACTTGGTGTCAGAGCCTCTCTGGTCGTGTCTCACTGCAGATCAGCTTGAATTTCCTGATGGGTCAAGCACCAAATCTGCCTCTTCCGTCAGAGGCAGTGGGTGCTGTGTTGGTGTGCAGGAATGGGAAGGATTGCTGGTGTGGTGGGAGGCTGGGAAGTGGCCTGCACAGCCCCCTGGGTCCCCACCACCATCTCTCTCAGCCCACTGTGGTGTCCTTTCCCCACTCCTGGCTCTCGGTGCCCTGCCCTGTGCTCAGCAGTTCGGCCTCACAAGGCGACTCACCCCCCCCAGGGCTGCTGGCCCACCTCAGGATGGGGGCTCAGAGGATCAGGGAGGAGCTTGGGTTTACCCAGGGTTCTCCAGTGTGGCTTTGTGGAGCTGAACACTGGGGAAGGAGGATCTTCCCTGGATCCTGGCCATGCATCAACCCCCAGAGATGCTCCAGAGGGTGAGCCCAGCTCTGAAGCCCCTGTATCCCATCAGCCCAGCTCCCACTGCCTGGGCTCTGTTGCTCACCATGGATGACCCTCATGCACTTACAAACTGCTGAGCTTCACCCTATCAGCATCCCATTTTATCAATATCTGCTGGTTTATGGCTTCTCCGGAGTTTAATCATTGCTGATGACTCATTTCTCAGAAAAACTGAGTTTAAGGCATTTGTAGAGTTATGTAACAGAGGTTGCCTTAGTTCCTTGGGCTCTGAACTCCCAACCTTTATGTCTTTGCTGATGTCCCTTTGCTCAGGTCCTGATTTATTCCTCGGTGCTTTGCATCCCCTCCTCTCCAAGCAGAGCCGTCTCCACCATTTCCCCAGCACTGTGTGGGGCCGTTTCTTGGTGTTTTTCTCCAAGGCTGAGCTGGGCAGAGGAGTCTCAGGCACTTGGGTTCGTCCTTCCTGGATGAATGAAAGTCTCTTTGTAGCCCTGAGCATCCCGAGTGTTCCCATCTGGACCGATTCCTCGGGGTGCATCAGCATCTCTTCGCCCGTCTGTGTGTTTCCCTGGTGTGACACAGGATAATCTTTCAAGGACACTGTGAGTGGTCCAAGCATTCCCAGCAGGGACCTCATGGCGAACACCAGCTGGGAGTGCAGCCTTGGACATTCTGTTTGCAGACAGTGGAAACGCTGGGATGGTCCTGCCCTGTGCCTTGAGCCCTGAGCCAAACCCTTCTGCTAACAGAGGGCATCAGTGTTGGACTGATGGCAGCCCAGCACCCTTCTCTGCCAGCCCAGCACCCCTCTGTGCCAGTCCAGCACCCTTCTCTGCCAGCCCAGCACCCCTCTGTGCCAGTCCAGCACCTTTCTCTGCCAGCCCAGCACTCCTCTCTCCAGCCTGACGCTGCTGTTTACTCAAGGAACTATTTTTTATCAGTGCCCTGGGTCCGATATTGTCCTTCATCGAGGACAGAGGCTCCTGACAGAACTGAGGGTTTAAAGGGCTCACATGATAAAGATGTTATCATTTACTAAGCTCGTGGAAATTCCTGTATATTCAGTGTGTTGTTCCAAGGTGGGTCACCAGGTCCCTGTGCCACTGCGAACAGCGCGGGAAGGTCCTGATAACGTATCGTGTTCATCGGCTCTGCTGGGAGGGAAGGGATGAGCCAGAAGGAAGCACTGCACTAATCTCCAAGGAATATTTGATATCAGGAGTGTTTCAAAGCACATTTTGATATTGGGTATCTGAGGAGCACGAGGCAGAGATAAAGAACATCACCTTTGGCCGTGCTGCCTGGGGACACTGCCAGTCCCACCCAAACCGGCTGATTTGGCACTAATGACACCTCAGGTGCTCCTTCCATGTGTGGATGTGCCCGAGGGGCTGGGGCTGCTCTGGGCCCACCCTGTCTCTGCTCAGCGTCCTCCAGAGCACTGATCCTGCATCCTTGGAAACACTCCTGAGAACAGGAATGAGCTCTGAGGGCATCACCATCATTAGCAGCTCAGTGGGGACCATGGTCCCTGCTGAGCACACTGGGGCTGACACTGTCTGTCCTGCACTTGTGCACCAATTAACTCCGTGAAGACCGATGAAGGGGCTAAAAAATAGAGACCACGGGCCCAGAGGAGTTACCCACCAGTGGAAGTGCCCCACTCGGGGGCCCAGCCTGATTCCAGCCTTTGGAAAAAGCGATGTGCTCAGCACCCCACGGGCACACACACAGCTCCCTGGGGCGTGTGGGCACACGGGCAGTGCAGGGCAGTGCCAGGGAGCAGTTTGGGCAGGCAGGGGCTGGGCAGGTTTCCTTCTTTATTTTTTCATTTTCAAAGGGACAAACCTCCTGTGCCGGGACCTTGTGGTTAAAGCTGCCCCGTGAGCAGAACAGGAGCGCTGCACCTGGTGGGTCTGGGGTGATGGTGGGGGGAGGTACGTGGAGCTGCTGGGGGTGGGATTCACCTGGGACAGGTGGGTGGAGTGATGGGTGTCGTAACAGCCCCGAAGTCAGGAGCAGAGCAGCACTGACAGACAGGGCGTTGGATGGAACCAGAAGCAGCCCCGGTCTTGGCCCGAGCCCTGAAGCAGATGGAGGGAGGAAGGTGCTCCAGCCAAGCAGCTTGGAAAGGTTAGAAAAGAGGAAGGAGGTGGGAGAAGAGGCTCTGAGTGCCGCGGGGGGGGCTCCTTGGGCAGGACACGGATGCCGGTACCGGCGGGCAAGAGTTTGGGTCTTACCCCCGGGAAACTGCTCCCCTGTTGCTCCCGAGAGTCCCGGATCTGCGGGAGCCGGTGGAGGCACTGCGGTGTCCGTGCAGGTCTGGCCGCGGAGCTGAACCCACTCACCAGCGCGGGGGTGGCTGCAGAGACCCTCCCAAATCTCCCTGAGCCCCCGCAGCAAAGAGCCGGGCGGGACCGGGGGGGCCGGGACGCTCCGCGTGGTACCTGCCCCGGGCCGGAGCCGCGGGGCCGCCGAGAGCGGGGGGGCTCGGAGGGACCCCCGGGAGGGACCCCCGGGACCCCCCTCCCAGCACGGCCGGCCGCCAGGTGGCGCTGTGCGGCCGCGGCGGGGGGGACCGGGGGGGGACCCGGGACTGGGGATGGAGCGGGAGCATCTCCCGGGATCGGGGATGGAGCGGGAAC